GTGGACCATAGGCTCATCACCATTGTAATACCCCATTTGGCGATAGATAGTGACTTAATAGACATAATAATAATAAATAATTTAAATGAAAATCTTCAAGATTATTACTTTAATGCGTGTGAGTAATGCAGGATTTCTGGCCTTTTGGCAACCAGAGGAGAAATTTGATGTATTCGCCAGCGATGCATTTTAATATCAGATTTAGGTGTAATCCAGCTTAATCATACCTGCTGTTGTCACAATCAGGACACAAGATTCATGTTAGAGCCAGGTGGAAAGAGGGGATTTATGGTGAAAGAAGCAGGCAGTCCTCCCTCATCATTTTTATTGCTAAAAGTTATTCCTTTTTTTAAACTAAGAAATACAGCAAACAGAAGAAGATGGGGAAATTGAACTTTTGTGCTGTGAGTTGTACGTATGAGGCATGGGCGCTGACTTACCTGCTGTCCAGGATGCAGGCTGTGCTTGATATTCCAGACTGTCTGTGTTAAAAGTGCAGCTGAGTATGTAAATGTGAGGTTTTCCTGGATGTTTAGCGTTGCATGCTGAAGCCTAGCTGGAAAATAAAAAAACGTCAGTTTCAGTTTACAGAAACGAAATAAACACATTTAATTTTATTTGTACTATTTGTTAGAACATTTTTACTTCTTCATTCTTCTTAAGTTAGGGGCTCTTTCACCTAAAATCTCAAAAAACTCTAAAAAGCCTTGTATAAACAGTCAATGGATTTTGCTTTTTTCTTGTGGTACTACAGCGGTTCTGATTGTGCACTGATGTGGCAGGAACGATTTATAATCACATTTAGTGTTCAAAATTATGGACGCGATTGTATAACACTCGCACGTCTGCTTTTCCCTCTATGAGCAGTCAGTGGAGACGCAAAGACAAAGAGGAAATGAAAAAGGGGGAAAAGGAAGGTGATGGTCCACAAGCTCTGAAGCAGAGTTAGAAATCGCTACTCTTCCATGAAACCAGCCTTTGACTTTTGCCCCCTTCAAACTTCACAAGTCATAAATGTGACATGGTGCATTCATGTGTCTTTGTTTGGAAGTAATGCCAAAAATACACACTGACAAAAATCTGTTGTGTTGTAGTAAAGAGTAAACTAATATGGGGAAACAATAACAAAAGTGGCACCGTCACCTTTCACCTGTAATAGTAATTTTTTACAGCAGACATTTTGGCATTAACATTCACAGTCGCTCTTGTTCTAGTCAAGTGTCCCAGTAAGCCATGCCCATCTGACATTGAGCAGGCATGCAGAATACCAGGACCCTGAAACGAAATAAATGGAACTTATTACTTTTATTATTTATCCTACAGAATGACTGTCTGTAATGACATGCTTGATTGAATCAACAAACAATTTAGATTCAAAGTTGGATTTAATGCTTTTTATCAAATCTGAATTCAGTGAAAAAAAAGTACTTACCAAACCTTGATCCCTTTGAGACCTTTCTGTGGCATCTTTTGTGACTGGTTGTTGAGGACGAAAGACAGAGATTTTTTTAAATCATGGCACTATAGCTTTTGCAAGACTCATGTTGAGTGGCTTTTCACTGCCCTTGAGCAGTTGTCGTTAACAGGAATGCATCACAAATCTCACTTTATTATAACTCTGTAAAAAGTGCATATCCACATTTTCATTTTACATAACAGTGCCATTCCATTAAACTGAAAATGGACTAACTGTAGAGCTTGGTGGTACTGTTCAGAGTACATAGCCTAAAAGAGGTTTTAGACCATTTGAAATAGTGGAAAGTAGCAGTGCATCAAAAAAAGAAATAACTGACAATTTATAAACCCTTTTTAAATGACAAATTCTAAGATAAGACAGTTAAGTCATGAAAACTATTAAAATATTGACATAAAAAGCGAATTATTTGCACAGAATAATGACCCATATTATGAACAACAGTAGAATGTGTGATTTATATGGTTGTTGACCTGGCTTTATATGTATATCATAAACTCAACAAACTGGCATGCTGTAGAAAATTTCTAACTTTCACTGCTTTATTGAAACAATTTGCCACTTTAACAAATATAACTAGAATCACACGAATTTTGCTGTTACATTAACTCAAAATTGTTCATTTGCAGTTCACAGTTTAATTTAACTTGCAGCTCAATTGATAATGATGATAAATAGAAATGGGGACTCTCAATGCATGAACACCATGTGTGTGTCTTTCAGTTCCTGTCGACAGTTTCAAATAGTTCCTCTGTAACAAAAACATAGTCAGTGTCTTTGGCTATTTAGTGGGGAAAGCCAAGCTTTTATAGAAGATCCTGGGGTCTTAATTGAGGGCTGACAGTGTCAGAATGGTGCCGGACCGATGACATTTCACTCCCAGTGGGCTTTCTAGATATGACTGGCCTGTCTGTAAGGACCCGGCCACAAGGGAGCCCACTCAAGAGGACAGGAGAGGACTGACTGAGGAATGGCACACAGAAACACTGATGTACCTGTTCTCTGGCTAATGCACATGTGCACACAGGCGCACATTTGCCTGTTGGTATATAAACCAAGTGCACACACGGAGATATACTTGTGCTTAGGGTTATTCAAATGCACACGCTTGCTTTCTCTGCTTCTGTCTTTCTTTTCCGTTCTGCTTCTCTCTGTCTTGAACACAAATACACTCAGCTCAGGAGGTGAGTGGCATGGCTTGGAGATAAGGCTGCTATCAGACCTTCATCGGGGACGGCTGCACTCTCAACGTCATGGCGCCTTTTTCCTCTTATCAGCTCCATCAACTCTCCTTCCTGCTGCTCTTCTCTCTCTTTTCCTGTCCTTTATTATAGTTGACCCTCTACAGGCTTACTGGAGTCGGGATATATTAGTTTCTTGATGTTTGAATGACGTGGTCTACATTGTGTATGATGGCTGTGCACTCGTGTTGTGGTACTTTGGCAGCAGCTTTTTATTCGAAAAGGATTTGTCAAACACTAAAAAAGTAATTCAGAGCCCAACAGGAATGGAACCAAGTATATTTACACATTCAGATGGGGTTCAACCCTAATTTGTGCAATCCGTGCATTTAAGGGTTTGCCCGTATTATTAAAAAAGCAGGGTGCAAGTAAGTAAAACATCCCGAGGCTTAATGCAACTTGAGGTATACTTGTCAGCATGGGTGACCTTCTGGTTTTATCGTTTTACATTCTCATTGTTTACATTCTCACTGTTTATCCCACACTGATACTGTGATAGGGAATATTACCCCTGTCACCTGCCCATCCAGAATATGTTAAAGATGAAAACAATGCCACCATTGTGTATTATAAGGCTGTTGTTGCAAACATTACACACACTAGCACGGTACAAGGGAACCTCATCCAGTAAATCGAGTTTTATATTCTTGATATTTGTATATTGCTACACTGTATTTATGTACTTTTCTGTTTTTGATGAGGGATTGTTGTTTTTCGTGGTTCGGTGCAAACCAGTGCCATTTCATGTGTTTTATTTTAGACTTAAAAGTTAAGAATAGGACATGCAGTATTTTTACATTTTTAGACTGCTTATGGATATACTGTATATATTTACATATTTATACATGTGTGTTGATGGGAATATGTACAGATATGTTGTATAATCATGAGCGTTAGTAAGGTTGGAGGTGTGCATGCAATCCAAGAATAGTTTCCTGTTTTGTTTTCCCCCTGTCTTGTACCTGACATAATACATGCAGTATTTGTCTCCTCCCTGAGCTTGAATTTAAAAAAAACAACTGCAACAACAAAAAACCCAATATGTTTGTCCCTTAGAGAAAAGCTGAGAAATTAAATGAACATTCTCAGGAGGATGTAGGTTGGAGGTACAATTTAAAGCTTTTCTCGAAGAGATGAGATTTCAGTTTACTGTTTAAGATTAGGAGTGACTACACAGTGCTGTGGATTGGGAAGGTCATTCTATCAACAGAGAGCCTGTTGGGAAAAGAAAGATTAACATCTTTACTTGTATTTATTTCAACAGTAAATAAAAAGAGAAAACATATAGAGACAGAAAAGGGAAAAAAAAAGAAGTCCAAATACAAAGCATCAGACCTGGCCAGACGATATTTAGTGAATAAAAGCCGAATTGTGTATTTGCCAGTCTATAGAACCCTTTTGTGAACACGGAAATATTGAGTACACCAAAGTTTTATTTTATTGGAAGTCATCATGCCCATATACATCAAAAAGGATTTTCATGTTTAATTCTCAAATCTTAAAAGAGCCTTTATAGGATTTTCAATGACATTGTATAAAAGAGAGCATCATGCTTAGCAACAGGGTCAGCTTAACATCATATCTTAGTTAAAAGTTCCCTCCTTCTCTCAGAGACACTCTAAAAACTTTTCAAAATCACTCTTGAGCTGGGGCATCTTATTATATTTTACTGTGTTTATTATTGAGTTCACTCTGTTCATGAACTGGAAATACTTTGGCTATAGAAAGCAGCACAGCACAAATGCAAATGTGGCAGTGCTCTTCGACGCAACATCAAGCAGGCAGCTTGTCATAACACAGTCTGTAGTTATACCTCTGCAGATATTACAGTCATAGTGCTGCTTCACCATTAACACTCTCCATACTGTGCTAAGTAGCAAGAAATGTGTGCCTGTCCAAGTTTCTAAGTATACTCCGTGTTCAGCATCCCCAAAGTAATTTTGCTGCATGTGTATACACACAAAGAGTCACTTTCACGCTCCGACGATACCAGCTCCTGGGCACTGCTTTCTTACCTATGTCTTATCATACATTAGACCTGATATAATGGTGTGTTAAGCTTTGATGGAGCTCGGGAAGAAGTATTAGGTTTGATATAATGAGCTGGAGCAACAGAAGCGTAGCGCTGCCAGTGCCAGTATTGTGGTATAAGAAACCACTGAGCCTGCTAGAAGAGATGATTAATACAGTCTTTGATGTCTTACCACCAAAACGGCTTGCAGAAATAATCCGTTTACAATGGCTATGATGTGTGCGCCTCTGTTTTATGTGTGTGTCCATTCCAGTGGAGTTCACGAGACTGGACCTAGCCTCTTTGCAGTCTGTCCGTCAATTCGTCCAGAGTTTCAAGGAGCGGGACCTGCCGCTAAACATCCTGATCAATAATGGTGAGTAATGGAGGTGTCATGTTTTTTTGCCATGTGTGGTCTGTGTACTGTACATGCAGAGTATAGTATTCAGTGTGAAAAGTAGAAATCCTCTGCGCAGCCATGTAATTTAGAGGCTGCCACCTGACTGTATTGAAAAGGATTTAAAGTCAGCTCACTGAAACATTGCTTACATACAGTACTGGGAGATCAACACAGTGCATGTGCTCCATCATTCAAAACATAGTCGGACTCGCCACCGGTGCACCGAGAGAAATGCCGGTGGCACGACACCGGTCGCTCTGTAACAGAGACAGAGACATGTTGTGAGCGGCTGAAGCAGTGAGACAGAAGAACATAGGGAGAAGAAAAGGAAGGTTTAAGTTTGGCTTGCGGTCCATTTAGTTATCTTTATCAGTGCCTTTTGTTGTTTAACATGTTAAACTTTTCATAAAGCTGACGTGCTTGTCAGTGTTCTTGTCAACCGACCGATCACGGCCTGGATGGGACAGGACATTAAAAAAGTTTGACGTACTACAGCAAACTTTACACTGTTGAACCATATGATTGTTGGCAAGTTAGTACTTAGCTTTAACAAATAAAAGCCATTTTATAATGATTATAGTATAAAAATATTATACTATTATATTAAATTATATTGAATATTATTACAGAATATTATTAACATTCATTTAACTATGTTCAAGAAATACTCATTTCGTGTCAGTATTTGTGCATTTTCCTTGATAATCAAGAAAGTAGACTCATAGTACCATTTGTTCCATTATAATTGAATCGAAATCGCAATATCATCCACAATGATCACAAAATGACTTTTGCTCCAAATCATGCAACCCTAGTTCTTATAGGTGTTACGCACCATATTTGGAAAACATTCAAACTTCAAAAACTAAAATATATTTTTGTGTGCTTTAAATGCTTGTGTATGTGTCAAGCGGGTGTCATGCTGGTTCCTGAGGGCCGTACTGAGGATGGATTTGAGCAGCACTTTGGCGTGAACTACCTAGGCCACTTCCTGTTGACCTGGCTGCTCCTGGACACACTGAAGGGTTCTGGGAAATGTGGTTGCTTTTCCCGCGTGGTCAACGTCTCCTCCTCTGCCCACAGCATCGGCGAGATGAGACTAAATGACCTAAATAGCTGGTACCCCCTCTCTCACAAAATATAAAAATATAAAATATAAAGCAGTTTATAGTATACTAAATATACTACTATATTAAACTAAAATAAATATTTCAGTTCAAAATGTCATGCTGATTACAAATTGAGTGCAAGTCATTTTTCGTAAGTTATCGTCTGGTAAATGCTGCACATACAAATCTTTTCCTCTGTGCTTCAGAGTTTCCCACCAGTACTAATGGAAGAGATAGCAGCAACAGTTTCGACTTGCAGATGTGTTTAATTTTATTTTATACATTCCTGGTTTTACACTTTACACCATCTGTTAGCTAAAATAAAAATAAAATGATAAAAAGGAACATCATTATCATCAAATGTATATCGAATACTCAGTCTTTTTTCACAGATGTGTCATATCATACACATACAGTATGATATCAGTATAATATTATAGGGACTCAGTGGATCAACGATTAATAATTTCCATGACACCGAAGTAAAATTTTAATTACTTTGCGCGTTTAGATTAGCTTTAGATTCCCATACAGGTACATTGACAAACAAAAGATACTAGAAAAGACAAATTGCAGTGTAGCAGTCACTGCCTTCCAGGTGTCGAAATTGCAAATACTTTCCTTCCCTGTAGATGATGCACATCGGCGTGTGTACATATGCAAGTCTGAACTGTTGTTGCTGTGACTTTAAGAGGTGGCAGAAGTTGGACTGGACACACTGAGTCTGAGGATTCACAGATGTCTTGTTAAGTTTCCACTTCAGCAGAACAAGTTCTTCTTACATGTTTTTAAAACTATTACCTAATGTGGCAAATGTTGATTGGAATGAACTGAACAAAACTGAGAAACAGCTGTTTACCTGTCATATATCCTTGTTATATTTAAACAGGCACATGGTCTGACTGTGTTTTTCTTCACTCTTTTCAGCGAGTGTTATTCAGCCCATGCTGCTTACTGTCAGAGTAAGAAGGCGCAGCTGTTATTTAGTTCCCACCTCCACCAGGAGCTTCAGCGTGGAGGTTTCCCACTGAGTTCATGTGCTGTGGATCCTGGCATGGTGGACACTGCTCTTTATCGCCACCTCTGGACTCCCATCTGCCTGGCACAGAGTGCCATTGCTCGCTTGCTTTTCAAGGTACAACACTGTCCTGACTTTTATCTGCTTTATTTACACAGAGGCAATGTTAGATTTATGTCATCCTGCAAGACAGCAAAGCAGATTAATAATTATCCTTGAAAAATAAACCCAATTAACTAAACAGTTAGAGTATATACATTTTTCCAGGACGCCTTAATCTTGATGACTTTTAATTTTTCCTCGATCCGCCCAAGTGCGTTTTATTCTGCTGTTGCCCTTGTTAGGATTCTGCTAATTGAGTCCAATCTAAAATCCAGTCTAAAATGTATAATGTCTATTTATTTGTCTCAAGTGTTGAATGTTTTCTCAAGGTCTTTGAAAGATTTGCAAACCAAGTGTTTTTTTTTTGTTGAAAGGAAACAACAGATCTACTGTTTACTCCAAATCTTATGCAGTAATGAAGCACAGAAACAGTAACTGTACAGTTTGCTAACTTGAAACAACAAACTGGAGCACAGACATTGTTCAGTATTTTATTATACAAGATGCACAATCTATCCACATCACTGAAAATGGAAGTGCTACTGAAAATCAAGACAGGCTGTTCACTGTGTGTTGTATTTTAAAAGTTTCTTGCATAGCTTAAAGCCCTGGCCGCAGGCTGCTGTTAATGTCCCTGGATTTTAATGGAAGGAGACGTGTGGGCGTGTTTGAGCCCAAAACCACAATTGTCACAGGCCATTTGCCCCCGAGCATGACCTAAAGGTCATTCTGCCCAACAAACCCAAACACATTAATCACACAAACTCATGCATGTCATCATTAACACATACACAAACACAAACACACAAACAGTGATTCTGTTCTTTTACAACACCTTTTTCTAATCTCAAACCATCATATTTTAGTGCCTGCAAAGCCAAAGGCTAAAACATATAAAGAGAAAGAAAAAGACAGAGTACTTTATCCATCACAAAACAAACAACCTAAGAACAATCAAGGAGATAGATAAGAAATAAATAATAACTAAGGAAAGAAACTAAAAACTAGAAACTTAACCTAAATTAAATTAGGATCATACTCTAAATATACTTTTTAGTGCAAATCTACAATATACAACAGTAATTATTTGCCCCCCAAAAATAACATTGCAGTATGGTATGCACTGTAACCATTCAGCTACCAACGGACTCTATATGTTGATGTTTTGTGAATCTAATGTGTGTATTTATGTTACCATGGCGACCTATCAATCAGGCTAGAGTGACTCGTACCCACAGCACTGTGTAAATTTATCCCGCGCCGTTGAAAAAGCTTAGTAGGAGTTGGCTGTTCACTTTCTCTGGTGAGTACATTTAGTTTTAAGACTGTTGTTCGCTAGACAAAATTGTCAGCCCAGTTAAAATGACAGTTAACGTGAATTACAGATGGCTAAGCAAGCTAGTTAGCTTCCACACACGGCCGTTAGCTCCACCGTCTCGTCCAAATATGGTCATGTCCGGTGTTGCAAAAAAATCAACATTGCGGCGCCCTATCAGCCTCGAGGCTTCAAAACAGCAGTCCACAAACCAACGGGTGACGTCACGATAACTACGTCCACTTCTTATATACAGTCTATGAGTGAAATGCCATCTGTTGTTCTCCTAAGGTTGTTCTAAAAGACTAGCATGAAAAGTAAGAATTACAAAAAAGGAAAAAAAGATAAAAATTCATGAGCAGACTAATTTAAAAGAAATACTTGGACGAGTGAATGTGAGGTTTTGTGTTATAGAAAATCTGAATGTGGTGTGTTCTCATGCAGCATTTTTTATCTGAACAGACACTGACAGTTTTAGACAATAGAAAATATATAAAGTATGCACGGCACTCTTTAAAAGGTTGATCAAACCAGCAGCATCTTTTGGCTGCATGATGCAGTCAATATCGGGAGAAAGTAGTCAATTTCATATTTTTTCAAACAGCAAGCAATGCACCAAAACAATCCAACAAGGGAAAGACAAAAAAAACTACTGAAAGAAAGTCTGTTTAACTTAATAATTCAGAGCTGACCTAATTAGAGTACAAGTATCTTTGAGATGGCTAATATCAAATCCAAATAATTTTTATGCCGGTTCTCCAGGTTGAAACTATTTGGTTTTCTCAGTTTTCAATAAGTATGTGTGTTGTTGTTACTGAGAAACGTGCTAGATAAATTAGTCATGGCATCACCCTTGATGGAGAATGAATTTTCAGTTAGTTCAGTTCAATGATATTGCCATCAGAAAGCAATTTACTATGTAAATAAAGCTCTTTAGTTAGGTCACATGAATGAAGAATTAAGGGGTTACTGATATTACTGGTACATTTAGGAAGGTACCACAGAGAGCCGAGCAAAATGTATTTGTTATTTTCTGCAAAGAGCTTTTGCTCCAAACAGCCCCACTTACCTGCTTCATATAGATCTATATATTGCCAGCGACAGATGCTGAACTGACGACTCTTTTGACATTATATGAAAAATCTCCTCGTGGTACTAGAGGTGAGGCAGCCAGCAATGAAACCCACTTGACCCACATGAGTCGAAGGTTAAACCACTCTCTCAAGACCTATTGTAAGCATCTTTGAACTTTAAAATCATTATTTAACAGACTTAGTGAACAAAAATTATTCATCATCTTATAAGTCTTTGCCTGGTTTTGGCAACAAAGATCACAGCAGAACTCGACATTGACTAGTTAACTTAATAATGCCATTATATAGTAAAGTGAGGAAAGGGATCAGTTCTTGAAAACCTTGATACTGTAACTGTATTTACATTCTGACTTGTGTAGTATTGAACAACATTTTTACTATATCAAAATTATGAATGGCGAAAACCGGTGACTTATTCTTCATGCGCACATTTTGCCTGCTTCATCATCAAACTCTCTGTTGTGCAAATAATGTTTCTTCATGCGATATAGCTTGCAAGTCCCCCCTAGTGAGCAGTATTAATTTTTGTTTCCTTACACATATCTTCCTATTCCTGGCTGTAGCGTGGCTGATAATCCAGTCTGTAACTTCAAAAGCCTCCCACACCATCTGAATAGATGAAACAGAATAAAACACAACAGTGATCACTCGTCCCATAACAAAGTACTATTTAACTTCCAGTGTTTTGTGCTGTGTAGATCCAAAACGGGGAGAATGTTACAGCGATGGCGGCATGATCAGACATTAGTATATTGTGGAAATCAGAACAAATTACATTCTCCCTTAAGGTCAAAAGCATATTATCTGTCCTCGAACTGTAGTTATGACCACACTATGAAGTGTGTTAAAACCAAACATTTCCCCCTGCGACCCTGCATGGATAAGCGGTTATAGATAATGGATGGATGGATTATTTTATTATATAATAAAGGTTGTATAGTGTGGAATAGTGTTTTGTGACATTGTTTCTCGGGTTAATATGGGCTAATACATCTGGGCAAAAAAACACGAAAAAATAAGGATGTCATCCCTCCTCTGCTCATGACCCAACAGAGACTGGGTGAAAGAAACCATGACCAGAACTATAACTTAAACTGGTATATCAAGATTAATAGCCTTTTTAGCGCAACTGGGAAGTCCTAAGTAATCACACGTAATCAGCAATGAAATGAGTGGCCTGTTGTTATGGAAACAAAATGTTCTTTTTCTTCTCACAGAAAGCGTTTGAGGAAGCGCGTGAACAGACCTTTAAATTACCAACAGCAACATGAATAATGAAGCACAAGTTGTGTTTGCCTGTATCATCGCTAGTGCTGAAAAATGTAGCACTGCAAGAAAAATAATAATTCATTCAGAGGAACAATTAAAATTCCTGTTTGGATATATTGTGAAGCGCTACAACTCACATAGGCGCCACACACACACACACACACACAGTATGCAAGTGTGCTGTTGATGCTCGCAGGATGTGATGATCCCCTCTGTGCTCTGAAACCTGCTCCTGGTCTCACAGCTGACACTGAGATCATTGTTAAAATGCATCAACACTAACACTCGCGCCCACGTACACTTATGCATGCAGACACACACAGGCACACACCCTGAGCCTTCTTTTCTCTGACGCTAACATACAGTGACATCAGCCCTCCTCTGGCATTCATACACACACACACACACGCACACACCCCAACACGTTACTTGTTTGTTGCAGTGATAACTTGTTGTTGAACTTGTCATCCTGCAGTCGCTCCAATTCCTTTTGATGTTTGCGTACCTTTTGTATGCAATGATTTTTGTTTTTAAATGTACATATGTGTATATTTATATGTACCTCTGCGTTTCCTTAGACTCCTGCAGAGGGTGCTGCCACTGTGCTGTACGCTGCTCTGTCACCCACCCTGGAGGGGGAGTGCGGAGGAGGCTACTGGGCCAATGGGTGCAGGGAGATGACAACACCACCAACCTTTGACCCCCAGCTGCAGCTGAGCCTATGGGAAACCAGCCTCCAGTTGCTGGGCCAGCAGTAGCATGGGACTAAAGGACGGCTAACTGGGCTAAACCTCAAAGAAAACATCAGATAAAGACCCTTAACTCGGGGCAAACCAGCCACCTTCTCCTTCACCCTTTTTGTCAGTATTTTCTCTCCGCCCATACCTCACATCGAGGCGTTCGTAGTGATTTATGTTGACAATCTCACAATCCTCTGCTGGACTGTGATTGGTTATTTTTGGAGTGAAGACCTCCCTTTTTGTTCTATACCCGCCAATGGAAAATGTTTTTGTTTTTCACTACGAGTAATCTAACATTTACATACACGTACAAACACACTCGAGGGTAATATCGATTATATGATTTTGCTGTCGTAGAAACTGGGCAGATATCAGATATCAGTTGTCATCCGTCTCTGGTCACAAGTTTATTCCCTGATCATAGCTAACATCCGATATGGCCAGAGATATCATTCCACAGTGTCAATCTGCAATGACACCTGCCTCACTTTGCCTTAATGTCATTAGTCGAGATGTCAGTGAAGAAGTTCATTGTCCCTCAGTGAAGTAAATGCAGTTTTTGAGGCTCTTCTATACTAAATATCTGAATCTAGGCAGACATGAAAACACTTTTTGTGCATAGAAGTAATTCATTTCAAAAGGTGTATTTTGCTGTAGTATACTGGCTTCAAAATCACGTCGATCAAGCCCTCACACACACACACACACACACACACACACATTCATGCACCATGACAATGATCAAATCTGAACCCGCCTTGCCGTGGCGGGGAATGTGATGTCATTACTTTACTTTGACACATCACAATGATTTCTCAGATTGTCTTGCCATCCCACTCATTTGCCTGGAAGCACTTTGTTTTTTCAGGACATTTGTGTGCTTTTACTGGTTAGTACTGAATCCTCATGTTAACTGCTGGTAGGTGTGTGATATGCTGCGTTTTTAAAAAGAAAAGGTGAATTCTGCCGTTCTCATAAAGATGCTGGGAAAACATTATCAACTCCTCTTCCCTTTCCCTCTCCACCGCTCAGCGATCCAACAAAAGACGTTCCTTCAGAATGATCAGGGGATTTGGGAGGAAATTAAAAAAAGACAGAGAATCCATGTAAAATTAGGCCTAAATTTGGAATAATTCCCCCTTTAGACCAGAGAGTGATTAGGTTTTCAATTTTTTTGCTGTTGTCATTTTCTGAAGCCAAGATTTCCGACGTTTTTGTTTGCTTTTGTCTGCTCAGAAACAAAAACGGAAAGATGGGGAACCAACCGCCACTTCGCTATGTCCCCATTTTCCTTTGTGATCTGTGTTAATCGGTTTTGCTGTGTCTGTGATAACGTGTGTGTGTGTTTTATGCCTGTGAGTTAAGAATTAACTCATGCTATAGAGCCAGTTCATGTTGATGGATAGCACAACAATGGCCAGTCCTGGAGGAACAGCAACGGGAAGAAGAGAGAGAGGGAAAGCCCCTTTCTTTTTTTTCAGTATTCAAGCTGTGATTGGTTCCTCATTGCTGCTGCTGCTGCTGCTTCCTCATTTGGCACAGCTCCCAGTGCATTCTGGGATTGAGATTTCCCAGTGGTGAGAATCAAACTCCATCTGCTGAGCTGACACACACACTCACTCAGAAACATTGGAAGCAGTACATCCAGTCAGAGGCTTATCTAAACAAGCACACAGCAAACAAACACGTCTGGTAATCAGGCCGGAAAATACATACACATACATACACTGTGCGCCATAATGCCATCTCCACTGTGATAAACAATTTTAGCTGTGAAGAGGAAAAGTTTTTATCTCAAATTAACAAGTTTAGGCTAAAATCCTTCTCCACATGCCATCCCTTGGCTGTATGTGCATATTGTTGCTTTGAATACTGCCACTGAGCATCCAGCGTTCGTTATTATCTGCCGTATGTGAAGCAATAGTATCACTGTGCTAGCTAATTCAGCCAGTAGCACAGAGTCAGACATAGAATAAGGGAAGAGCGTGTGAAGTGTATAAATGAAAAAGATACCAGCTTCAAGTTACCCATATATCAGGAATTCAAAATTTCTCTGGCTGCATGTATAAAAAGACACTGTTAATGTAAAGTTGTATTTTCACCCTATTTTTCAAGCAGTTTGAAGATGTGTCCCAATTCAGAGGCTGGATCCTCTGAAGGATGAGGCCCACAAAAGGCTGAACCTGCTTCTCCCCCTTAAATGAGATGACGGTCTAGACTCAGAGATATAAACTAATGGTGCATCTGGTGTCAGCTCAACTTTATTATAGGATGTTGCTAACAGAGTTTACAGTATGAGCTGTGATGTTTAACACACAATGAACACCTGGCGCATAGTGGCGCAGGTTAATGGTAAATATATTCATATTGCTTCCATTTATTTGTAATGCCCTGTGATTAACATGTCCATGCTGCAAATAGTGGAGTTCATGTCTGGCTTCCTTTATTTACAACCTATTGTTCGTTGGTCTAGTCCATGAGATGTGATAGATCACCTTAACATAAGTACCTGGTAAATATGACGTGATCACATGACTTTATGAGATGACGAAGATTGCCCGAATGCTCTTTGAACCATCGATCAGCACACAGTGGGGTTGTTGAATGTTGAGGGCCAGATGTGTCCTCCTTTGGGGTAAAAAAGGCAGCGTTTCTTTTGTGGAAGAGCCTTTGAAATGGGACAGGCCTTGTTTGCTCGTAGTGATGAAATGCAGACACTGGATCTCCATCTTTAGACAAATGCTGCGTTCATGTCATACGGGATGGATGGTAGAGATGGAGAACATTCCCCATGTTTATGACTTGTGTGAGAGTTCACATCACCTGACAGGTCAAGACGGCTGGTCGTGTGTTACAAATGCTTTGAATGACAATATAACACTATATCAATTACCTATAGGTTTAATTAACTTAAGCTGACATGTTTGTTTGGTTTAGGCTCTTCTTCATTATTTAGTGGCAAGTCAAAAAAAAAAGAGAAAAACCCGAGTTTCCGTGAATTACTAGATTATTTGGCTATCGATTTAAACAACTTACACGTTGTTACCTGATAATTACGGTCAAACGCATCACACCTTAACTTGGTCCTGATTGGCTCCCTTTATAGAATAACTTAAATCTGTCCAACCAGGCTAATTTTCATTGTCATTGAACTGGAAAAACTTCCACCAGCAGGTTTACCTCATTTGAATGAGAGTAGCTGATTCCAGTGAACCAATCAGGTTTGGTATTGAGGACTTTGATTCGATTACACAAATTCAATTCAGCTTTTAACATTATTTGGAAAAACAAAATCACAATCCAGAACATCTCTTCAGCTTGAAGTCTTTTTTTCCAGTTGTAGCAGTTATGTAAGAATTGACTCTAATGCCAGCAATATTCTTCAGCTTTGAAGTATCTTCTACTCAGCATTGTCATACAGCTTGGAAACAAACTGTTTATCGCCTCAGTGCTTCCTTGTTTGACCACGTGGTTCCCCTAGGCTGCTGTAAAGTACTATCTAAATAACAGAATAACAAACAACCAAACCTAGTCCCATTGGAGCAAATGCTTCCCTTCACACAACTGAAAACTCCAGCTTACTCCTAATCAGCGTTACAGTGGCTACAGTGTGGGCTGCATCCTGTCGAAAGAGCCATCCTGTTCTTCACAGTGCAGCTGCTACAGTAGATGTATTAAAACCTGAGAGGGAGAGTGTCACGGACATGCCCGACCTATCTGAGCACAAGGTTTTCGAAAGACGAGGCGAGGAGGAGAGTGAGGGTCTCTCTTGGTGTTCTCAGTGTGTCAGAAGATGGCTGCTAAATTATCAGTGATTACCTTGTTATATAATTAGTGTACTCCTGAAGCATTCGACACAGACAGGACAACACAGTGAACTTTCTGAACATGAATTGCAAATGTATAAAAAGAGCAAAAAACCCCTAACAAAAACAGCTCAAGTAACTGTCTGTGATATTGTCTGTGTGTGATTTACTCGTATATGATTATTTCAAGGTCGTTATCACCGCTGGACATTGAACCAGTGGAGCTGTATGTAGACAATGTTCTAATAGCCATTTTTCTGTTTGACCTGGGATAACATTTATATTAAATGTTCCAGTCCTGAGTTCTGCAAATCCTAAATGTGTATATGTATAGGAAGAGTGATAATATAAAGATGTGTACACGGGGCTAAGCAGATGAACTGAGTCCTTACTCTGGTACTAGTTAAGCAAAAACACATTTATTGCACATCTCCTTATACCAGTTCCTCCTTTGTCCTCTTGGGCTGCAAATAGAAGATGTTCCCACCTCAAATCCAGTGTAAACATTCGGTCCATCTGGGCCCCTGAGGTTATGACATGTGCAAAATTTATTTTTATCATTATTTTTGTTGTTGCTGAGATACACATCTTATTGCTTTTGCCGTGCCTAAGAAGAAAATCTCCCTCATATATGTGTAACTGTGAAACTTTCATGTAGAAATGAGCTTGTAGAAACTGTGATTACCGTCTTGTCCTGTGCATTGCTGTAAGTTTATTCTCTCTTAAAAATGATGGGTGTGGATGTGAGGAATGTGAGTGTGTGTGTTTGCGCGTGCGTGTGTCTAGATAAGGGAGTTCATGTCCCATGTTTTTTTGTCAGTGGTTGTGACATTCCAGCTGCAGCCACCACCTTTTCTATTATCCAAAGCCTCTCAATAAACATATCATTGTGCCACTCTTGCTCTCCGTCCTTTACACTGAGTGTGAGTGAGATACTGTCAGACTGATGACACCCATCGTCCGACACCGTGCCTCGAGCGCAGTCTGAACTTTTGAGATATTCTCAGATCCGCCACTGAAACTCAGGCGCACACACATTTACTGGTTATCAGATCACTAGGCTTAGCTTAATGCAGTTTTTCATATCATAAATATCAGATTTGGTCCAGTCAGTAACCACATATTTTACCTTTAAATACTAGTATACTATTAAATGACATTTTTCAGATCATGGGGACCAGTAATCTTACAATTAATAACCAGCCTGCTTCACTACCTGAGCTGCAGCTGGCTCAACTTTTCAGCACTTCTTTGGTTTTCCATGGGTGGACTATCTATCAGATATGATCTTTATAATCCAGTGTTTCAAGTGCTAATGTAATTCAGAGGCTTTTCTACCCTGACAAATTCTTCCATTCAACAGTGGGCCTTTCAAATGATCAGACGTAATTACATTTAATTAATTAATCAGCTAAGAATCAGCAAAAACTGTTAGCCAAAGGCAGCTTCAGTCCACAGATGTTAGCAGTCATTTGTTCAGTTGGACACAGTGGTACAGTATACATACAGCTTGCAAACTGGACAGCCGCAGTAGCTGCTGCACAGTAACTCAACCCTCCTCTGAAGATCTGATGTTTCCTCTGGTGGACTGTCATTTACGTTTTGACATAACTGTAAAAGCACAGTCCAAAAACCCTTTTTATAAATGATGGCGGTTGTGCTGCTGCAGGTGTGTCTCTTGATAATTTAAGGTTTTTCCTCAAAACAGGCAAGAAAAAAATAAATAAAACAGATTTAACATGCATAAATTAATAATTAGCTCAACACTGTCTGTCTGCATCATCTGATTTCTGATCTTTTATTGCCTTATTTGTTTTCTAGTCCTTTGCTCATATTTCAAGATATTTCTATTGCTTAAATTAAGGTCAGTGGAATGTAAACATAGAAAACATCACCAAGGAAAAGATCTGTAAATGTGCTATACAAACCATTAATGTGGATAGTGGGAAACAATGTCATAAATGAAAACTATACTTTCCAAACATAAAAAAAGAAACCAAAACTGCAGTAAAGTTTCTTTCTTCTGTTTAAAATGTGGCTTTGGACTTCACAATAACATTCTTTTTTGTAAATAAATAACTTTTGCCTTGCATAGTAGAAGGTGGGGGATAATAAAACTGCAGAGACTTTAACTAAAGAGCGTATTTCAGAAAGTAAAACACAGACCTGAGAAGCAGAACAAAGAATCCATCTTCCTTGCTCCCTACTAAATAAATTCATAAACCTTGGACCCAGACAGTGACGAGCAGTGCAACAAGTAACTCAAACATCTCTCTCTCTGCATATTTGACAGCAGAGTGTCTATTAGAAGAAGCAGAGAAGAGTTGCTGCCATTCTTGTCTTATAGAAATGTGCTATGCAGACACTTGATTAGGCGGCTGAGCCAACATGACTGTGCAGCACTTCAATGCCACAAGAAGCACAGCCGAAAATCAGAACGCTGGAAAAATGTAAGACAGCTCATCAAGGTGCATTTGAATGGCAGGCAAGCAGAGTTACATCATGTACATGCTTTCTTGTTAGAATAAGTGTCTGACACAATGAGGCGCTGCCTCTTCAGCTCTTTGTAACATGAGGGCACATGCAATAAAGTGTGTCTGCAATTAATTGACTGTCATTTGAGCAAGCGAGAGAGAGCAACCTGAAATGACAAAATGATAATCCTCATTTATGTCTTGGTAATTGATGCTCATATACTTGGGACAAATTATGGTTTATAACAATGAGTTTAATCCAGATTCATTATAAACACACTTAATAGCTCTTTATTCAAGTGCAGCTCCCCCTTCATAAATTCCTCATGGGAGATTTAATTAACTCATTGCATGCACACTCATAAACTAGGAAGTGGCTAATAAGTATTCATTTATGTAATTACTGTCAAATTACTGAGAAGACATTAT